CGCTGATGGCGCCACTGTGGAGTACATGATAATATTGAAAATTAATTAGGCGTACGTTACTGGAAAAAGTTTGAAGTGTAATTTTCCCTAGCTTCAAATTGCAACAGGATATTGATTCAAAACTTAATATCCTGCTGATTAAAGGCGCATTTTGAGGGCAAGAAAAAAGCTGGTGATAAAAAAAAATTAACTGGTCAGTCCTACATTTCGATGTTAATTTAATTGTAAGTTTGCAACACCTGTTGTAAATCATTACTACAAAAGAGAAATTAATTAACCTGCGACAACTCTGGGAATCTGTACAAGCAAAAATGGAAAAAAGTACTACTGCCATGATTAATGTTGTCATAAAATTTAGGCTACAGAATAACCTACAAAATATTATCCAATTTATTACTTTGCGAAATTAATTTCTTACGCCTAATATTGTAATACTGAATATAAATATAGCATGTAAACCAAACAAAAATATTTCACGAAACATGAATACTGATAACCAGGACTGGGGTTTTGGACCAGTAGTATATATATATATATAATATGCATTTCAAACTGCCAAACAAGTAATGTGTTTTTATTTGCCTCATGACTTTATGCAATTTTTAAAATTGGGCACATACGGCTGTCGGGAAACGGGACAAATAAGGGTGGTGTCGAGTTTGGGTTTGTACTATAAACGTGTCTATATACAAATCTATTGTATAATCTGGTTCAAGTACTAGTCTAATGAATGCATTCCAGTCTTTTCCTTTATATGTGTACTTAAGGTCAGTGTACCACTTAAATTATTTCAATTTTCTCCACTGTATCTTAAACCTGTACTCAAAGTATGAAATAAATGATGTTGTGCACTTCAATAAAATTATTTCACGAATATTATATATATTAATGTGAAATATTCAGTCCTTACTAGTATGATAAAAAAAAATTAGTTTTTAACTATTATGTTTCTGAACTGCAATTTCCTCCCTGTGTATCACGGGAGAAATGTGAAGGTCAACTGGGTAAGAAGCTAGGCCTTGAACTTCGAAACACAGAGAAGAGACATGGCCTTCAACGCTTAATGGTTCAGAGTACTGCTCTTCTGTCAAGGTTTTAAACATTTAGTACAAACGTATTTTGCAATCCACATTGCTTAACAGTTATGTACCCACTTGCTTACATTTTGATATTTGATTTGTTCGGCACACAAATACAAAAATTGGAAAAACAACAACAATATTTTCACAAAAGAAAGAATAGTTCGTTTGGCATTTTGCATATTATTGAACTATAATTTTCATACAAATTGAAAAACTGGGTTTCATTATGTTAATTTTGGCCAAACACTAACAACAATAGAAATATAAGTCTTAATGAGAAGTTTCAATGACGTCTGTTACGTAAAATAACTTGAGAACATTCAAGTATGCACAGCAGATCGCCAAAGCAGTAACTATATTTTCAAGTATACTTTCTGTAAAATATATTTTTTGAACAAGACTCATAACCATCACAACTACACATACAATATCACAGGACTTTAAGAACTGGAAGAAGTATAGTGCTTTGATTTCCCCTTTTTCTTTTGTAAATTCGAATTTAAACCATACTCTCATACAAAGAAGGAAAAACAACAACAACAATGCCATGCAAGGTTGAGTGACTGCTAACCACGCTCCTTAAGTTCTGATTTTTTTAACGGTAAACTACCAACTGAGCATTCCGTACCCAAAATGCGGAGTGGAGGAAATAAAAAAAAACACCTCTTCGTTATTTTGGTACCAGACGAAATGAGGACATTCGTAAGCGGGAAAAGATATCGAAATAAGTATGTCTGTTATCAATATTTTTTATAATATTTGGAGAATAAGAACAAATAACTGAATAAATTGAAAGTATTCTCCTTTAACATCTACAATCATTATTGAAGTCAAAATAATTCGCATAACACGTGATTGGTTATTTGTTAATTTTTAACACAAAACACATAATTCAAAGCCTACACATCTTCTTGAAGTTAATTTCGCATGTTTGAAGCCGAAATTGTGAAAAAAGAAAGGTCCGAGCCAAGCATTTAATCATACAGTTAGGAGGTGTTGTAACAACTAAAAACTGATTTGAACCCACCCTAAGTTTTATAAGTAAAGTTACAATAGCTAAATAGATTAGAAAAAAAAAAAACTACGTAGAGCAGTAGCGGGTAGGTATGTTTTAATGATGCATTGTTTTATCCTTTCAGCACTAAAGAAAGTTTAAAGAACATAACTTTCAGTGTTAGTGATATCCATCCCTCTCAGAGTCTACTAGAAGTCTTCCCTTTCAACTCGACGTGTATCTCTTTAGGATTTGGTGATGAGCAGATTTAGGCAACACATTTTTCCCATTTAGAGTAACGGGAATACATTTAAAAGTCATGTAAGTACCCCGATGGGACAACGTTAAGTCTATGGTCTTACAACGCTAAAACCCGGGTTCGATTCCTTGTGGTGTACACAGCAGATAGCCCAACGTAATGTAAACTATGGATACAGACTAATGTTTTATAAGATTAAAATCTGCCTAATATTATATTTACTACATTGAACACTTTAGACACTACGAACAGTAATACAAAACTACTAGTAATATATTTACATTTCTATTTCCCCATTTTCTTACCAACAATGTTTTTCTTCACAGAAAAAAATACCTCATAACCTCTTTTGTGAGCACCTGTAGTGCTGGCTTTAGAGATATGTACCCCGAATCAGTCAGTACTTTCTACGTGATAGCGGTAGAACATAGCTTTCAATATAAACAAAAAAATATTATCCATGTTCAACAACCTTCGTGCATAATATTTTGATTGATTGGGATCAGGAATAAACACAGAATAGTTTGTTTTATGTGTCGTGCATGAAATATTCAAAGATACGTTCATGTAAAATTAAACTAGTGGTTCCCGAAAACATGATGAATACTGGTTCCCGAAAACATGATGGATAGTGGTTCCCGAAAACATGATGGATAGTGGTTCCCGAAAACATGATGGATAGTGGTTCCGGAAAACATGATGGATAGTGGTTCCGGAAAACATGATAAATACTGGTTCCCGAATACATGATAAATACTGGTTCCCGAAAACGTGATGGATAATGGTTCCTGAAAACATGATGGATAGTGGTTCCTGAAAACATGATGGATAGTGGTTCCCGAAAACATGATGGATAGTGGTTCCGGAAAACATGATGGATAGTGGTTCCCGAAAACATGATGGATAGTGGTTCCTGAAAACGTGATGGATACTGGTTCCCGAAAACGTGATGGATAATGGTTCCGGAAAACATGATGGATAGTGGTTCCTGAAAACATGATGAATAGTGGTACCCGAAAACATGATGGATAGTGGTTCCCGAAAACATGATGGAGTCCTATTACGCAAGTTTTTATTGGCACAATATATAATAATTGTTAATTTTATTTACAGAAATATTAGACGCGTTATATGGTTTAAAACATTAGTGTTTTTAAAAACGATTGGTCTGACTTCACCATTATCATTAATTAAGACCTACAAGATAATATATAAATGTAATGGATACTTGCCGGCCTGAGCATTATATTACTCGGTCAGACCCGGTTGGATTAGCGCCAGGATACACAGTAGACTTTGATTACTATCCAACTTAAAATGCCTAGAGTGACCATACATGTTACTAAAAACAAAACAAATTCTACCAGGCAAAGATTGTTTTTTATTAACTCAAAATTAACGGTACTCTAGAGCTAAAGGTTTATACACACCATACATACAGTACGTGAAACCGAATTTAGAACGTTACCCTTTATTGTTGCACACTTCTGCCGAATGTCACTACTGTTGATATACGATTCTGTTTTTCACACTTCCAGAATTTCCCAGTAAGAATTAAACTTATTTATTTCACAATGTTGTAATAAGTTAAATAACGATAGTACTTGTATCTAACTTCTGGAAATATTTGATCAGTTTTCTTTATTGTGTTGTAACAAGCAGAAAAAATAAAAACATTACACAAATATTACACTATATGGTTATTAATGGTATAAAAAGAAGTATATAACGTGTTTTTCTCATTAAGTGTACAGTAAATCAAAAGTCAAAGGCACTGTAGACTTGAAAAACATGGTGTGGTTAGATGATTAACTGTGCAGAGATTATTGGTAAATTACTTCTTAATACATATTTATCATCACTACCAGTTTTCTTTCACAACACACAGTCCTTGTTAATTTTGCGTCAGTTTTATAAAGTCACTTCATTATTCTGATTTAGTACGATTTGTGGAATTTTTGCTAATATTTCAGTTTGTTTTAGAGAAAATCAACACTGGGCTATCTGCTGTATCCACCATGAGGAATTGAGCCTTGGATTTTAGCACTGCAAGTCTGTGAACTTACCGCTATTCCACCAGTAGACTTTTCCGGTTTGAGTACAGTTTCTCTAAGACAGATAATTAAGCCTGTACATGTTTCAGGCCTGATACCCCATTCCATGAGAATTTTCTATTTGTGGCTAAGCAGCTAAGGCTACCTGCTGCCATTTCTAATTTAGAATTTCTGATCTATCAAACATGCTGAGGGAGTAATTGTTACTCTTATAACTCATCTACAGTTTAAAGTGCAGGAACTATTTTGTGGCATCTTGCAGATTTGAACCTTGTTCACTAGCTCTGAAATTCAAAGCTCTACCAGAGGCCAACTCATGTCTTGTTTCCATGAGAAGGGTTTAAACATTAATAATTATGATGTTATTTTTAATTCTAAGAGAAAAAAATGGACAACAGAACTTCATAGGTTTCATCAGATGTCTTGAAAATAGTCATATTGAAATTTATTACAGTTATACAAAATTAAATTACTTGATTGTAATTAGTATGTCTTAAACTTTAGTAAGAATGACAGATGATTGATAATTTTAAGATTGATTACTGAATAAAATACTTTTTAAAACTTGTATGAAATTAGCATAATCCATAAATGATATACGCAACACAAAATTTGTATTTCAAAAATTCATTTTAATACAACAGATTGATAGGAAATGTATTTTTATTATGATAAACAACATAATCAGTTGATGGAATAGAATTATAACCAGCAACAAAACTAATATTATGATGAGATGCCACACTACAGCCAGGATGAGATTATTTAGTTGCAATCAGAAATGTACGTTATACAAATAAATTTCAGAAAAGTATCATGAACCAAACTAGAAATGCTGATAAAAAGTTCTGATTTAATTTTTAAAGTTTTTTATCTCAAATTTCCAACACAAAAACAGAAACAAATGTGTGTTGTCAATAAATTATGATCAATTCTTCCAATTTGTACACTTCACCATAAGTCTTATGAATGAATTCTATTTTATAGTCTTATAAAAATAAACAGTTACAAAAACAAGCAATTACGAGCTTGAAGTATAACTACATTTCAAGTGCTACCAAATCTTAATTAATAAGCTAAGATAATCCAAGTTTCCCAGATGAACATACACTCGCTTGCTCTATCCTGAAAGCTAATTTTTATTTCTAAAAGTGTACCATGTAAGGAAAGATTAAAACTGCTGTGGAAAAGATATACTCATTGTAAATACAAAACCTAATGAACAGTTTTCTACAAAACAAAGCACCTGTCGTATAGTTTGTCAATAAAGATTATAAATGCACTATGACTGTACTATAAAATGCTATCAAGCTATTTTTGTTTATTTGCAAATGGATCTACAAAAGATAAAGTAATGAGCTTCACAAAAAGGTTTTCTATCTTCTTTTTCACTGCTTTAGCCAACATAACTATAACAGCCACTTCTAGAACAAATTAAAGCCTAAAACCTAAAGTTCCACTTCTAATGACAGCTTCCTTAACCACCAACTCTTAAATATTATGATATGTATCTTGCTTTATTAAAATATGATGCTCCTTTATTAATCAAGCAAAAAAAAAAAAATACTGAAAATTGTATATGGTAAGAGTAATTTTTTAAGTATGACAAAATCAAACACAATGTCTATTCAATAATAATGATAATAATAATATATATATATATAATTATATATACATGCACAATATTTTTAACTTTACCTGAAGCTTCTCAAACTTGTTATTAAAGAATAGTAAATTAGGTGAAGTAAGATCTGAGATAAAGCTTTCAATAGTATTGTTCTAGAAGCCACTTTTACAAATATCATTTGAGACAATTCTTATCAAGTTTAACACTTGCACATAAACTTCATGGATTTTTTTTTTATCTAAAAATCTTGTAACATAAGTTGATTTCCTGTTGTAACCATCTTTATTGTATTATCTGTAATATGCAATGAAAAAATCCATGGAAAAAAACAAAATTTAACTTGTTAAGAAAATAATGAAATACTAGGTGATGAAACAACAGTTCTGGAGTTTCCGAGTCTTCTCTCACCAAGCAGTAAACTTCTAGTTTCCAACTAAAGATTTGTGTCTATACCCAATTCTTTAGGCAAAAGTTGAATTTCTATCAAAAAATATATTAAAATATTAATATTCATTTAATTAAAAAAACACAATCAAAATCAGTTGGTTTAGTTTGCAATAAAAAAAGCTTTAAAAGTAATGAATGAAAAGTTGATAAATCTTTTATTAATTAACAAAGGCAGCCTACTGACAAATTATCCACTGAGCATTTATAAAAATTAATTTTCTTCTTCAATACCATCATTTATCTTATGATACATTCTTTTAACCCACAGACTTGTTCGAATCATCTGATCCTGTATCTGTGAAGCTATACGTATAATGTTTACAATAATTCTGAATTTCCTAAGTGTATCTTCAAGAAATTTAACAAGCTTTTCAGTAAAGCCTTCATTGAATGAGGCTGTGTGAGTTATGATTTTCATGCTAAAATTAAAATTAATTATTTTTGTTTTAGTTTCGTATATCATATGAATAACCCCTAGAACCTCTCAAATGGAAGTTTATCCAGTAAAACTACTTTTTCTTCTCATTTTCTCTACCCTAACACTAACTGCAGTGAAATCAATGTAAAATGAAATAAAATACATTAATACATAATAAATATACATAAAAACAGGGATCTGTAGTCGAACTGGTGT